TACAGAGGCCTTCTCAATGGTGGTGAACACACCAGTGGACTCAACCACATACTGGGCACCAGCATCCCCCCATTTGATGTTAGCGGGGTCTCTCCTGCAGAGACAGAAAAGAAAAGTTAATAAATTCAGTTCTTCTCTTTTGCAATGTGTGAAACTAATTAAACTGAAATGCTTTCTGTATTAAAAGCCTGATTAGTGAACATACTCGTGGAAAACGGTGATTTTATGTCCATCGATGACCAGCTTGTCACCCTCAATTTTGACCTCACCCTTGAAGCGGCCGTGGGTGGAGTCATACTTGAACATGTAGACCTAAAAGAGGAAATGTGAAGAAGAAGATGATAGACAGTTTACACCACACTACAGACAGCTGACAAAAGCAGAAGAGATTATATAAATTATTAAAGATGCAAAGCATGTTTCGGACTACAAAAGCCTGCATTACATATTTAATCTAGCCAGCGCAACCATAACCTAAAATTCAGAGTTTCACAAAGATTACAAGCGCGTGGCAGAAGGCCGGTGCCGATTTCAAACCCCTAATCCTGATGCCTTATATTTCAAGCAATCTCCTTCACTTACCATGTATTCCAGGTCAATGAAAGGGTCATTGATGGCCACAATCTCCACCACCTTGGAGGTGAAACCAGCACGGGTCACCAGGCGACCGATGCGGCCAAATCTGAAAAGTGAAGAGTGTTGTTTCTTAGTCTGGCCTCTAGATGGTGGTGTGATACCATGCAACTCTGACTAAAGTCACTGGGTGATGTGAGCCTCGTCAGTCCCACAATTGCAGTGAAGGTATGAGGTTGAAATAATCAGTCCGATAGTCATGAATATGCAAAATTAGGTTTTTGACATTCAGTTCAACCTAAGCATGGCCTATTTCACATTAGTGTTGTAGCTTTTTTCCTTTGTGTGGGGTTCAAATAGTCCCCAGGAGACCTGAAACCACTGACAAAGAAAGGGCAGGCTTCAGGAGGAGGGGTAGGGTTCAGGAGGAGGGGTAGGGTTCAGGAGGAGGGGTAGGGTTCAGGAGGAGGGGCAGAGGGAGCTGCCCAGCTTTTACTCTCCTCGCTGGGGGCTAAAGTCGAAATTAGCCTCTAATGTGCAAATCCTGGTGATGGCAATGCACTGTTTGATCAGCGGCCGAGTTACTTTTTAACCGCACGTCCAAATTCCTGGCACACTCTGTCCTCAGACACTGGAGGAGGACGAGGGGCGGAGAGATAATTAAACAGATAGGGAGGACTTTAACATCACATTAAGTGTGTTCAATAATATTTAAGTAATGACCCTTTCTACTTGCTTCAGACAGCAGAAAAACTATTTGAATGACCCCCATGTCGAAGCCACTCCCCACTACGTTATCTGCTCAGGGGCCAAAGTTCAGAGACCAAGAAAAACATGATATCAGCCAGGTGACTGTTGGTGCATGTCCTCCATTACTAAACATTTTCTCCTTCAGCTGCTGTATGGTGTCAGAAATTAATCATACAAATATTTTTTAATATGCAAACAAAGAAGCTTTAAGAAGCACAGGTGGTGCATCTTAAAAATGTAAACAAGGCAGCAATTGCACTAAACCCCCTAAATGCTCCCGATGTACACAGATGAGAGGTGTGGCATTGGGAGCTGCAGCGAGCTCACAGACTTGCCTAATAAGTGTGTGTTGATTTGATTAATTATTTCATGCGAGTGAATGAAAACGAGCCCTTACCCATTGATACCAACTTTCACCATGTTTCCTGGGTTGTCCTAGTCCTCTGAAAGGAGAAATGAGAAGAGATAGTATATTAATGCAGCCTGTTAAATATTAATGAAGCAACATTTATGGTGCCATATATTAGCTTTCACTTGATGGACAGCACTACGATTGTGCATTGAAATAAAGAGTTTATGCAAAATTATTCCACTGATAAGATATGCGACCACAGTCCAAGTAAATGTCAATGTAAATCTGCAGTTACTTAACCTTCCCAGCAGGCGTATAAACAAACAAATGTCCACTGAAGAGTCATTTTACATCCTCAAAAGCAACAATAATCACATTTAAAACAAGAGTATAAAGGCAAGTTAATTAGCTTGAGCTTTATGACCACATTTAGCTCAAAATGAGGTCCCATCAAGCTCAACCTGATTGTCCCCAGGTGATCGAAATCAAGTCCTGTTGCTGAGGCTCTGCAGGTTCCTGAACCCCTCTGTCTCAAATCATTTAGTTACTGAAGATTTTGTTTTGTTTTTACCGTTTGTGAGATGCCTCTGTCTGTCTTGTGACTCCGGGTGTGAGTGGGGAAGAACAAAGTTGAGCGGTGATATTTATCATTGACCAGACTTGAAAGCCACGCCCCCTTAAAGGTCACTGCTCTTAGCCCCGCCCCCTGTGAACATGAAGATCGTCAGCCTGCACAGAGACATGCAAGCTGGGCCTCTGCAACTTGACTTCATGTGAGTGAAATATCCCAGAAGCTTCTTTCTCTTCATCTCATTTCTGCTACTTGTAGGAGATCTGAAAAGTTCTGCTCAGATTGACATCATTTCTGCAGAAGTTACAGTATCATTAAGGCACTCGTGTGTTTCCACCATTACTTTGAGAGGTCTGGATATAGATACTCAGATATTAATCTCCTCAGATATTGGATTGAAAAAAGAGAGAGATCCCTCACTGACCTTCTCAGTAAATACAGTCACACGAGGGATCAAATCTCTGTCTTCCCGACTGTGACATTTACTGTCCAAAGACCATGACCCTTCACTTTCAGACGGTCTGTAGCGACTGATCATCCTCTGCCTCCCCATCTCCTCCGCAGGAGTCACAAGTTGAGTCTTGGTTACTCAACATAAACACGTGATCATTACACATCTGCAGAGGATGCATCTTCAGACTGTTAGAGTTCATGTCGGGTTATTTGGAAGAAACAAATTGAATCTGAATAAAAGTGCTGCTGTTAAGGTCTTGGTAATGTGTCTTCTGCTGCAAAATTAAATGTCTTCACTTCTATTCGTTGCCCACAGAAGAATATGACAAGGCCTGGGCATGTCAGAGTTTGTCTGGACTCTTTCATCATGTCACAGAGTTGGCATTTGAAAAGAAAGCACTCCAGACGACGATGTGCAATTTTAAATTACAATAAAGACAATGTCTGTTTAAACCAGAAGGCCACTTAAATTCAATCTTTTTGAAATATCCCCCTGGCTGCATACTGAGGCCTCACCAACGGGCAGTCCAGAAAGATAACTGAAACCTTACCCAGGGCATAGCATGTTGTCATAACAGCAGAGCATGACACATTAACATATCGAACTGGACCAAACATGACATTCAGTAACATATGGTTTTTCACTTCAGCAGATCATGTGGTCCTGTTCCAACGTTTTGCAGCAGGCTTAACAGAAGTGTAGATCTGCACCTAAACAGGACAGCGTTGGTGTGTTTTATGGCTGCGGTCCAGAGGTCCGGGCATAACTGAACTACCACAACCCTGTGGGAATGCCAGGCTTGGCCTCTGCTCTGCAGCTTAAGGTCAAAGAGGGGAAGTAAAGGTCAGGCCAAGATTAGACGCGGGCTGACGAGTCAACACTTGTCCATTTCATACTCTCAGTACTGTAAATGCTGCCTCATGATTCACTTTCTTTATCACAACTCCCAATCTCTACTCGCAGGAAAGTGAGCGGCCGTGGAATAAAGTATTTGTATTTTTTTAGTCTGATTTCTGTTGGACTCAATTTACAGCAGCATTTATGTAAATTTGGTTATTTTTCAACATAAAAGTTCCACTCTGGTTAACTTAATCAGTAAGTGCAGAAACAACAAACTGTATGGATCGCAGTTTGCTGATCTATGCACAAGTATGTCTGAAATTAAAAGGGGCCCTCTTGAACTGGATTTATACGGCAGTGTAAAGTCCAGAGGGCAGCTGTGTGTGGTGAGGAACAAATAAACACATGGTGGAATGAGACTGCCACCTAGTGTCGCAACGGAAATCTCCATCTATTTAATATCACCTTCAAAAATCAACTCAAATACCAGAACGAATAAGTAATATACCGACTATATAAGGTGCAAGCTATGTAGGATATCGTGGAAGAAAATAGGAGAAAATAAACGACTTTTGCTCGTAGCTCACTCTCGACCATCGAAACAGCAGAAACAGTCTCACCTCAAAGTCAATTTAGTTGCAGTTCTGGAGCTTTCTGTCACATCGCATGATCGTCATCTACAGATAGCGTCTGATCAGCAGTCATGAGAATTGTTGGATTCAGTTTTTTTCTGAGAATGAATTTTTTTTTTTTTTTTTTTTTTTTTTTTAAATGGCACAAGGATTAGTAGTTGAGATCATGTGATCAGATCAAAAGCTCCAGTTACTAAATAGACCTCAAGGTGGAGATTGTTTTGCCAAAGTAGAAAGTCTTGGGTTGGACCTTTCTCCAACGTGGACTTTGTGAATTGCCTCCAAGTTTAAAATAATTCATGTCTTGTTTTTAAAACTGAACACATTGCTGGTACAAAGGCCGCCAAATGTACAATTGCATCATATTTATGCACATATATAATTCATACATATCGGTTGGAACATTATATGAGCTTATCCGCCAACATGTTTATTTCCGTTTCCCTGTAGAATGAGTCAAGATTTTTGCCCCGGGAAACTGGCTGTAATGCCAGAGTAGAACCAGTTTTGGAGGCAGCCGAGGATCTCACATACAGTTATTAAGATTGGCCACCCATACTCCAGACTGACGCAGGAAGAAATGTAACTTCCTCAGACAACCATAGGAAGATTTGACAAAGTATCAAGAGTTCAAAAATAAATATGTCAGGAGAATTTTAAGCTGCACTTTGAAGGCCAAATTGAGATGACGTGTGCCAATAGGGCGCGAACAAACCGTGATTTAGATGTGGAAGAGAATTTCTGTGAGCCAAAGCCAGAAAACCATAAATGTCAAATCCATTTATTCATGCAAATCCTAAGAAAACAAAAAATAACTATCAGCAGGAATCACAGGTGCAAACATATTTTAATATCTACGTCCATTACACCTGATTTTACACACACACTCCCCATCCATAGATTTAACAATCGTCTAATCACATTTACTGTACGAAGACAAGTCCTAGAAATACATAAAGTGCCAATTTACCTAAAAACAAGCCCATAAATCAAAGATGATCATTTGATGTAAATACAGCTCACACAATGTTCTAATAGTCAGTTTAATACTTTCACATGGAATAAACTACAGCTGCTATGTTAATACAGCCACAATAGCGTGAAGCATCTGATCTACGCTGGATGAAACCACATTAGCAAAGCTGCAAGTTTACACCACACTACATGTAGCCTACACACACGTAAACATCCTTCAGTGCACGTGAACATCTTTGCATGTGTGTTTTTCCTTATTGTACTCTAAGAAGGATATCATCAGTCTTTATTTTCTCTCCACTAACAGCCCAGTCCGCTCATGGACCCGATCCGATCCAGTTTCAGCCCAAAGCATCCTCGGTTCCATCCCCTCCGTGACCGGTCCGGTTCTGCTCGCTTCTGATTGGCCACAGCCCCCTTCAGCAGGCGCAGCCAGGGGGTCTCAGCCTGCGTTTGTGCATCAGCCCATTTGGGGTACTCGGCCGCTTTGACCCCCGAGGACAAGGTGGACTGCTCCTCTGGTGGGCTGTTCAACAGGTTCTCCAGGTCGTCCAGAGTCAAAAGTTCATTGTAGCGTTCCAGAAACTGCTCCATAAACTAGAGGAGGAAAAACAGAGGAAATTAAATTGTCAGCGAGTGTACGGGGGAGAATAATTCAATCAGTGATACATTTCATTACTCTTTCCTCTTATTCTTTCCTGCTCTCCCACCCTTCCTTCTGCACTATTCTCTTATATCCGCCATCCACTCTGAATTCTCCTCAATCCTCTCTTTTCTATCCTCCCAGCTCCCCCTCCCTACCTGCACAGCATCAGGAGGAGGGTGCAGAGCGCGAGCCTCCGTGATCTCCACAGGTGTCAGGAGGAGCAGAGTGGCACAAAGCAGCACAGGGCACAGCATGGCAGCAGAGTTGACGGTGAGGAAAAACTGGAGCAGGACTGAAAATACACTGCAAAGATAAGATGAAGAAATGAATGAAAATCACTCATGCAGACAAACACAGAAATACATAAAATAGATAGTTGCACGTTTCAGGATTTAAGAATATTTTTTGTGTATTCTTATATTTAACAGGGTCCATACAGACAAATATTATATACAAATAAGCAATGCAACAGTTGTGATGCATTTAGGGCGTCTGGCAGGAGCGAATTTGCAGCCCCGTTCCTGGTCTAGATTAAAACAGCCAAACAAAGAGTAGACCAAACAGTATCAAAGTACATTTATTATACATCACAATTATAAAAAAAAAAAAAGTTTTCCTCTTTAACAGAAATACTTTTTGCTGTTTGCTATCAAAACATTAATTTGGTGACAATCCTTGAAAACAATAAAGGATTTAATATTTCTTAAGGTAACCTGTTGAGAATAATGTACAAAAGACATTTAATTTCCTTACTTTATAATTATAGGTTTCAGGTTGAATTGTAGTAAAGCGTTTTCTACACAATTTGTAGTATGCTAAAATAAAATAAAAAGGACTAATCGATAACTATAAAATAAAGAATATAAAAAAATACAACATATCTAACCATTAAAGAACATTTTAGTGTGCTCACCCGTTGTTTGGTTTCTCTTTGAGTTCTTGGCGTCTTCTTCTGCTCTCACAGACTCTTCTCCATCTCTCTGGTCCTCGGTCAACGGTTACCTCTCACTTGTTGGCACCTGCAGGGAGCATCACCATCTCACTCGGTTGACTCCTCCTCGCTCGGTGATGGAAACGAAAGGATTTTTCTTCCTCGTGCGTCTGTCCTCTTGGCAGAAGCTGAATGTTGGGGCATCAGCTGGGATGCTGCAGAGGTTTTGTAGAGCAAGAGACCCCCCCCCCCCCCATCTTCCTCCTCCTCCTCCTCCTCCTCATCTCTTTAGAGTGATGTCATAGCCTTGGAGAGAGTGATTGTCATTGCCAAGGTGACTGTGTACTCTGTACGCCGAACTGTGCTGCACAAAGTGAGGTCAGAGGGCAACAGCCAGCTAATGCCTCAATGAGATATGAACTAGGAAGGATTCACGTGTTTTACGTCAGCACATGATCTCAATTATACATTTCCTGTGTTGTATTGATGTTCTACATGCACATCAGCCTCTCTCACCCCTTTGTCTCCGGGAGTCTTTCCCAGCATGCCTCTCTCTGTTGTGTAAGTTACAGTCCGTCAGTGCCATCTGCTCCCTGTACCCCCTGCCACCAAATTACAACACTAGGAGCTGCACAATCCAACACATCGCCCTCAAAGTTCAGCAGCCTCTGATTATTTCAAGTAAATAAATCCCCAGCAGTCACAAATGAACGTCAGATACTGGACACTGCAATCAGGGACGATTCCGTCTTTATTTAAAGCAGCTTCTTGGAGGCAAATGTTTGATGTTTTCACACCTGCACCAACAAGTTTCAGCTTTGCAAAGCATAAAATAAAGTTATAAACAGGGCAAATTTACTTTAAAATTTCACTACGCTTAGCTCCCACTGAATACATTTAACTCAAATTTGTCCTCAGATAAAACCTAAGTGCTGCTGCTATCACACTGTTAGCGAGTGTCTTTATATAACGTATCAATCACACATACAGAAATGCACCCCTCTCATCTTTTCGGAGAGGACAACGTGTGGGAGAGGGAGTAGGCGAAAAGGAGAGATTAGCAATGAGGGGAGGGAGGAGGGTTAAACTACCGTGCATGTGAAGAGAGGAGCGCTGTAAGAGGAAAAGTAGGCAACGGAGAGTAGGAGGAGGATGGGAGGGAGGAAAGCACCAGCAGAGAGCGGAGGGAGACCTTCAAAAGAGATTGATTACGAGAACAGAGGCGGCCAACGAGGCAACAGCAAATGTGTCACACAGAATAAGAGGGGAGGGGGGGGGGAGACACGATTGTAAATAAACATGCAGCTACACTCATTGGTGAGGGGAGCTAAATTGTTTCTCGTCTGCTAAAGACTGAAATCAGATATGAAGGATCATGCTGTAAGAAAAAGGAAAGAAATTCGAGGAAAATGAAGTGGAGCAGCATGTGGGGTAGCAACACTGTCCGGGCAAGCTGTGACAACCCATTAAACACCGCTGTCCAAACACATGATACAAGCAGACATTCAATGCCGCTTGTAATGATGGCGTAAATTTACTTGACATAACCCAGCGGACACCCAAACCCTTCACACGTTTCTTTGTGTCAGCCTCTGGAGGTTTGTTCAGCGCGCATAGGCCGCAGCTCACAATGAGACAGACAACCGCTTGAGTTCTTATCAAAACCAGGTTTATTAAAACATGTCTTGATTCTATGCGATTAGATAAGTCATCGCACTACTTTAGATTGGTGCCAAGTACCAATGTCTTAAAACAAAATGTACAAAAAGATTTAAAAAAGACAAAATGCAATAAAAACAGTTAAAAATGCAAAACATCATTTCAGATAAAAGATTAAAAGAGACAGAAATGAGACAAAACAAAGAAGAACACAGATCAGTTTCTGAGGCGAGCTCGTCGAGATGTGCGGGCGATGGGCGTCGTCACTTTAGGGGTCTCACTCTCCGCCATTACAGCATCTGATGAAGATTAGAAATCGATAAAGCAAAAGCAGTCATGGAAAACATCTTTGTTCAGGAATAGTTTGAGCATTTTAACAGAAAGTATTTCAATGAATCCTACCATCAATGAATACGTTCAATGTTATCAGGAGAATACACAAAGAAAATCTTCCCCCGATATAAACACTATTCAAAGTCATGTACTCGCCACTTTATCTCAATCTTAATGTGATTCGTAGATCGATTTAATCCTTTAAAGTTGTTTTCTATCAAAGCCATTAAAGAAATCCCCAGATCTTGGATTAGTGCTGCAGCAATGCACAGCTCCCTTTTAAAAACAGCCGTCCTAAATCCTCTTAGACACCTCGTGTGGTTCAGAGCTCAGTGTGCCAAAGACTCTGAACTTTGTTGTATTGATCTAAAGTAGATCACCGACGGCGGCCAAAATACTCAAGTCCATTCTACGCATAAGACCAACAGCAGAAACGACTCGTCGATTGGGAGAGAAAATGTGCGGCTATTTTGATAATCAATTGAGAGTGTGTTGCTCTCTCCATCTTGTGTGATTGTAACTGAATATCTTTGAGTTTGGACGGATGGTCAGACAAAATAAATGAGAATTGAATAGGCAGAAGAATCCGTAAAAGCTATTTTCACTATAAATGATTCCACTTATGGATTAATGAAGTGGCTGCACTCACCCTCTTCCTCCTCCTCCTCCTCCTCATCACTGCTGAAGGTGATCATGGGTTTCTTGGACTTGCGAGATTTCTGAGGCGTCACAAAACTGTCATCGCCGCGGCCAGAAACTGATGGCGTTGCTTGACCTGTAACTAAAATCAGAACATGTTTTATTGTCAGAGATTTTCTTTCTATTTGCACACAACAGGAACCCTGAATTAAAGTCTACGACCACCAACCTCTCTTCGTCCTCGCCCGGCCTCTGGAGGGCAGAGGCGTACGCGTGACCATCTTCTCAGAGGATCCTCCTCCTTTTGGGTTCTCCTCGTCCATCTCAGGACTCTCCACATTCTCCAGCCCCCGCGTGTGAACCGCCGTCAGACGCTTCTCAAACTCATCTACCTGGGCCTGGGGACACAAAGTGGCCATCAGTAAACACAAAGATTGCATCAAAATAAATTAAAAAGAATCTCCTTGTATGCAGCACCTTGAACTGGACTTTGGCTCCACGGCGGAGCTTGGCGGTGATGGAGAGCAGAGGCTGGTAGACTCCAGGCTCCGTTAACTTGTCGCTGTAACACTCCCAGCATTCCTGCAGCCTCTTAAAACCGCGCTCACACATGGACAGCAGAGACAGAGACATGGCCAAGTCGCGCCACTGACGCTCCGTCCTGAGGGGGAAGCAGAACGAGAGTCCGAGGAATTAGAGACGAAACCTGATTACGAACTATGTGAAATGCATAAAAATTCTAGCTCCTCAATATAAGAACTCATTATTCATGAATGTGGCTTTGCCCTGACATTTGGACCAAATCTTATTTTCCGGGAACCTCTTGTATCTAAATTAATTTTGCCATTATGTAATAGAAAATGTCCTTCCTTAGAGTATGGGTGAAGCATGAGTCAGAGGCAGACTGAAGACTGGCCCGACTAATGGGTCCGTATACAATCCCAAACTATACAGGAAGAATGAGTGAATATAATGTCAGAGTGGAGGTGAACGGCTCTGTGAAGGAAAGATACATTTATTGGTAAAGCACAGTTAGGGCAAATCAAAGGGATTTCTGCTTTTGCACAAAAGGAATAAAACAAAGTCCAACATAAGATTTTTTTTAAACTACAGCGCAAGATATGAATAAAATCAATTCATGTAAGATTCCAAATACTCTAAATTGATTCACAACTTCCACAAAACTTCTTTTTTCACAAAAGAACCTAGATATCGGTCGTAACGGCCAGTAATCCTACACAACAAAGGATTCATTAAAATGCTGACCTGATGTATAATAAAAACGGTTTGATAAAAGTCTTCATTGCAAACTTAAAGTATTTTGTGAAGGGCTGAAGACTGAAATGTAAGAATTATTTGATTGCCACTAGTTATCAAAATCAGGAAGATAGGGTGTGTTGGTGGGCACAACTGTACAAGGCAGTCGGTCCATGCCCAGTGAGAGAAAGAGGAATTAGAAGTGGGGCAATGACCCTCTGTCATCTCTGAGCATGTCGTGCTTTAACGGTTGATCCCTCGTCTCACACTGAAAAACACTCATTACTCACGCAGCCACCTCTGCATTTTACACAAATGAAATACTTCAAGGCAGAATCAGAAGTGAGGGAAACAAAGGAAATAAATAAATAGCAGGTGAGAGGTGTGGAGATGTACTCACTTGGCAGTCCTAAAGCGCTGACACAGTTTCTCTACGAGAGACTCGGTCTGCCTTTCCTTGGTGATGTAGGAGAACAGCTGTCTGAAAACACACAGGCACACAAATACAGCATCTAAATAAAAACAGCCCCAAATAGCAAAGCTGTCAACTTTCCCCTCACAAGTCACCATTTCTTTCCCGGGCCTGCCGAGTGCTGCTCAGAACGGTGAAATCCTCAGTGGACGAATGCAGCAAAGGGGACGAGACGGACACTGAAAGAACATGAAACTCACTTCATGATGGTGTTGAAGTCCTCAGAGGTCATGCCTCTCTCTGGGTCAGACAGGCGGCTGATGATATCTGGGAGCAGGTTGTAGATGGCATTGTCCTGATGGGCAACACCAAGAGTTAAAAACCTTCCTAATTATTGAGGCACTATCAAAAGTTATGGATGTGTGTGTGTGGGCGCATACCTTGGAGGCCAGCTCGTTGAAGAAGTTCAGGGCCAGGCTGGTGATGTGAGCTTCTGGGTCAATTAGCAGCACGGCCACTTCGCTGACTTGGCCTTTCACCTTCAGCACATCTTTAAGCACCAACTGAGTCAGAACTGTCACAGCCGTCTGCCTCACTGAAGGAACCTCGTCACTGAGCCTAGAGGAGATGAGGACGTGAGGACGTGAAATCACTGGACAATTCATTTTCTACAGCTTCGGTCCCGATGATGGTGCGAGACCTATTTTCCTCAATCAGCTGCTTACTACGACCGATAGCGTCAGTGTGTATGGGGGCTTTAAGGCATCAAAGACGTTACACATTATCACTCCAAAACACACATTTTAACTTGTATGGTTTAGAAGAAATATACATCAACGGATACATCCTCTGGGAAACATGAATGTCTGGACAGAATTTCCCAATCCA